GTCACAAAACAGAAAAAATTCCTCATCGTTAAGTAATATTGTACAAAGTTAAGAAAAGTGACAAAGGAGGGCTGAAGACTATCATTAGAAATCAGCCATGAAAAGTTGCTATGGAGATGGCACACGAGAGAAGGATATGTGTTTCTTAGCATAGTATGTACAAGGAGGCATATCTTCCATTTAACATCTTCCTAGTGTATCACAGGTTGGATTATAGTACCTTTCTTCCAAGCAAGAAGGAGCTGCTGTAACTCCTGATGGGAGCTTTCACTCCTGCTCCAAAAATAATTTGGAGGATGTTGCAGAAGAGTGACAAGCTCAATGAGTCAAAGTCTGCTGCCATCCTCCCAACAGCTCTCGGCTAGGAACTCACAGAACTTAGGACTTGAATTCATTCCCATATCTGAGAAGACATTTATCTGCCATTTGCTGGTGTACTGAGTGTTGAATAGCAGCAAATCCAGTCAGGTTTTGGAAAAGGAACAATTCACTCCTTCCAGTGTTTGCTGTCAGGTTATTCAAACTGTATTTACTACGTTACATCTACTGAGAGTGAGTTTTTCATTTACAACTATGACTGAGCCCCAAAACCAGACGAACATCGTGACAGTGGCATTAGGTTTAGAGTAGTAGTATGAGCTAATTGTGTATGAGATGCAGAGAGAATCAGTCCAACAACACAATAGCTATTCTTCAGACCAAATTCAGTATGCAGCAGTTTGTCAGTGCACATCTCAGAAGTTATGTCAGTATTTAGGGCAAATTCCACTGACCAAACAAGCCACTGCCTTCTAGACTAGTTTCAGTCTCCAAGTGGAAACAAACAGAAGGTGCGTGTAGAACATAATGCCATTTCTAATAGTAATCTTAAAAAAGTATTGATCATAGATATCTCTCCGTTCTGAAGGGAAATGAATGTAATGGTACAGACACGAGGAAAGCCATCTGAGAATTGCTACTATAGATCATTTAAAAACAGCAAAACCTCATGCTAAGAATTTGAGCAACACAGAGTAGAAAAGCATCTCAATTAGCAGGCAAATCTGATCCAAGTACAATCTTCTAGTTTCCTCCTGTACCTTACTGACATCAGATTTGGAATTTTGGCACAGGCTTAAGATCGTCTCTGTCAAGCATTGGATAAGAAATTTCAAAGCACTGACTGAGATATAAACTAAGGTTTAAAGCTGGCTATAATGACCATACCGAAAATCCTTTCTCTCTGTTATCTCTTGTAACAGGCTCATCTACACACTGAGCAAGAGAAGCAAAAGGCTGCTGGAACTCCGCAGGGATGTACTCAGGCAGAAGAGCAAATGCTAGCAAAAAATTATCCTCTGGGATCTCTCTGAGAGACAGAAATGGAGCCCCTGAAAGCTGGCCATATGAACTGCTGTTGGGTTAGCAACTGCATCAACAGTCATGAAACGGAAAATGGCTAGCCAACAGATCTAAGCGCATTAGTCTAAGCACCTTCTCTGCTTGTGTTACCACAAGATCGTCTACCAGAGGAACCACATCTTGCATGCATACGTTTAGGTATAATCCCAGACTGACAAGAATCAGGAAGATCTGAAATATTTAGACAACACAAACATTTTCTAGAGCTATTGTGGAAGAGGTAGCTGGGTTGTCTTGTGTCTAGTCTTGGCTTCTTGATAAGATACAGGAAGGCAGCTTTGTCAGATGTTGGCACGCCTCCTTCTGTTGCTAATTTGAAGGGCCACATAACATACTCCAATCTCTTTTCTTTCAACAACTTGCTGATGTTAGAAAAAAGGGTTTTAATTAACGTAGGAATAAAAGTCAACAAGCTTTTCATGACTGATGGGTATTTGAATGCTAAAAAAAAATTGTATGCTTAAAAATGAAAATTCCAAAGATTTTAGATCTTTGTCAGAGTAAGTTGTTAGAGGTATTTGTGTTCCATACAGAAAGAGATTTATTGAAAATCTTAATTGGAATGTATGGTTCCATCTTCTACCAAATGGTATTTTGTGGCTTTTTGTTTTGAGAACTGAGCAGCCGAGTCAAACGTTTTTTAGTTAGGGGATCTATGGTTTTTTTTTTTTAATTCTGTTTCTGGGTTCTTATGAATTCAAGGAAAACTGCACTATCTAGCTGTGTCTGGCATGCTATCACCTGACTATCAATATGTCAAATGTCAGTAATAAAAATCAGTTAATAAGTAAGCCACTATCTCCTGGGCTAACTTCAGTCTCAGGGCTGATTAAGAAGTAGCTGCATGTAGAGAATGCTGCATGTCTGTTTAGGCTGGTGCAATCAACGGGTTAATTAGAATTTTAAATGCTTTGTTCTCATGTTGACAGATATGGCTCACTCTGTAAGAGCTCTGTGCCACAGGAAAGTGCGCTTTTTTTCATTGTAATTGCCCTTCTGGAAAAAATGTCTTGTGTATTGGCAGCATGAGAGTCCAAATGAGAGACTATAAACATTTTAAAATAATCAGTTTCCAATTTTCTTTTATTATTTGTAATACTTGAACTCTCTTGCTTTCTTGATGTTCATATTGTCACAAGGCTCCTGAAGCGGTACTATGTCATCTACCTCTACACTATGACTATAAAGATTGTACAAAACTGCATACAATAAAAACAAAATGAAAGCAGTAAAATAACATCGTGCGTCTTTTAGCTCAAAAGAGCAACACCAATAGCTTCCACCTTTGCATTGAAGGGTGGAGCAAACTGAGGTCAAGTGGTACTGAACTTCATTTTTAAGAAAGGTTTCACGTCTCGCATTTATTTTAAGCTTTGTTCTTTCAGAGGACTTGCATTTTGTTTTCTTTTCCGGTTATCGTTTTTTATGGGCTACTCACCACCAACGGCAATACAGCGACACTGTCTCTAAACGTTTTGCAAAGCCCATGTCATGCGCGCAACTCTAAAGCCAGCTGCAAAGCAATGACTATTGCTGCTACTTTATTTCTAATCCATGATAAAAATTGTTCTGAGACTTTATGTAGGCTGGTTATCTACAGCCTTAGACATATCAGCTCGGTGAATATGTCTTGATTTGTTTCCATTATACAAGCAAAAAAAGCGAGATATTAATTAACTAGGCCGGCATCACACAAATTTAACTATTGAGGCCGGCCTCTTGCTTTTAGCCTTAATTCTCCCTAGGTCATGCCGCTCTTGGGATGGTGCCCCAAATCTAGTAACTCCACAGGGCAGGTTCGCCGTCTGTCGCCACAGGAACAGGTAAATGCAAAAAGCAGCAGGGCGGGAGTATCGGCATCCCCCTGCGCCACCGTGTTGAACCCACCTCACCACTTCTAAGTGATGGCGCAGGGGGGGGAAGGGG